GGTTGAGTGTATACTCCCAATCTGTGGTGTTTTGCCAGGCAATCGTGTCCGGTACGAAGTCTAAACTCAGCAACGGTTTCGATTCTTGGCCAATCGGCTATGTCGGAGAGTGCCACTGTCCACTGTTTCTCCTTTGTTCGAGCTTTAAGTTCGTTGCACCTTGAGGTCTGGAATTCTCTCCTGATTAAGGCCTTCATTGTGTGGAAAGACATTGGCCGGTCCATGCATTGCAAAATCGTTGTCTCCTTCTTAGCAAGTGCGTCAGCAAGCCCATTGCCTTTAATGCCACAGTGACCAGGAATCCATTGTAGGACCACTGTTTTGTTTTTCTCTCTCAGCAGCTCATAGAGTTTTCTACATTTGCTTATCTCAGCTGTTTTGGGTGACTCTCTGTTTCCAATAGAGTTTATTGCTGACTGTGAGTCCGAAAGTATCACCGCTTTGGTGAATTTCGTATCCAGGCCACATAATTGGCATGGTGCTATCTTAATGGCCTTTATTTCTCCTTCAAAAGCGGATCTATTGTGTCCCGCTGCTGTTGAATTATGATAGAAAAAGAGTAGGGCAGTTGACATCGGGTGAATTGATATTCTCTTCAAAAGTTCTCTCGGAAAAAGCAATCAAACATGCTATTTGTGAATGCAATGAGACGTGTCTATTTGCAAATACATCCACATAGTTGTAACTACGTACCCCCATGTCTGGATGTTATTATTATTTGTCTTTGTCAATAAGTTGATGTGTATTTTCTTGAAGATGTCAATGGAAATCAATGACCCCGGGATTTCTGTCGATAGCGATGATAATAATGATGCAATCAGTGATGATGATCTCCAACCGATTTGCCCCCTTGATTCAATAGCCCAATCCTGTCTTCGAGATGGAAGGATTCAGAACATTCGTCTGGCAGATGTATTTGATTGGAAGCGGGTTGTTTTTCCCTCCTCTCCGACCAAGAGCTCTTTTGCTAATCTCTTTCAGAAGCCAGGTTCCGATAAGGAGCCAAAGGTGGTAGATACCTCGGCTGTGCCCATTTCACGTGAGGGGAGCCCTGTAGAAATTGGAATTGATGCTTTGGAATGCTTGGATATTGAAAGTTATGCTCCTGGCAATCAGGAAACTGGAAAAGATGACCCGTCTCAGGAAACTGATAATATTCCGACTTCCGAAAACATGAGTAAATTAAATTTTAGATCATTTTCTCTTATTCATTATGGCTATGTGTGCATATATATATATATATATATATATATATATACTTTTATTTGTAGTAATGATCTATTTAGAATATCTGACTGTTTACAAAGCGATTTAAATGTTTCCTATTGGGCAGGTCACCTATCTGTTGTCAGTTTAAGCTCTCTTGTTTAAATAAAGGAATGATGGTCTCCAGATTTCGGACATTTGACTTTTGACCTAATATCGAACTAAATTTTCCTTTCCGATTAAATGCCTTTACGATTGAACTGAAATGCTATTAATTGGCTTTTACACACGTGAAATAAGTATGAATTTATGGTAGGGCTTATGTTTTATCAGTGCGAAATATAACGAAAATGCATAATGGCCTTGTACGGAAAAAAGATGCGGATTAAAGAGCTACGAAAGTTTGAAGAAGCAGCATGTAATTGAAGTTTAGCATGATACCGCTGTCTCATTGGTCTTCCAAGTTCATAGTAGCACGTGCCCTGATAAGACCTTCTCTACTGGCTTGCGAGATTGATAACTTGTAAATGGGCTTGGTGATCTACAATTTGGTGACTTTCTATCTTAATAATCTTTCCATTTTAAGTTGACGATGGAGATTCTGTCCAATTTTTCACTTCTGATTGAACATATCGCGTAAACAAGTCTTTATTGTGTGAAGATTGTTATAATGCCTATTGTAACGTTTTCACAAAACGCATCAAACTGTTGGGTTTTCTTATTTAAATCGTTATTGCTTTTAGGTAAGTCGCAATCCCTTCTGGCAGTGCTTCGATCCACTATGATTGAGGATACTACACCAGCACCTGCACCTAATCCGCTCTATCCTCTCGCGCCTTGGCAACCAGATCGCTTCGTTGGCGACGGGGAATCAGACTCTGATTCTTGTGATGAAGAGGACGAATCGATTATAGAAACTGATGCGATATTGGCTGAAAATCGAAAATGGAAGAGGGGTGCTCCCCGTGTTGGTCGTGACTGTGCCCGATGCAAAGCGAGATTTGTTGCGCTAATCCGAAGACGTCATCATTGCCGAAGATGCGGGTATATCTTCTGTTCATCGTGTTGCAGTGAAATGGCACCGGTGGCTTCCCTCTTTCCATTTTTCTATGGGCAGCCGCCGATGGGGGTTTCTGTTGTTAGAGTCTGTCTAGATTGTGCGGAGTTTGTACGATCTGGATTAGCAGAAGCTCTAGATCAGGCCGTTATTGATTTCTGACTTGTATATTTGATTTTTCCTTTTTTTCAAATCTGTTTCCAGAAGTATAATTCGATTCATATTTTTCTTTGTTGTCGTGTTATGCCTCTTCATTGGAGCTATTCGCAAGAGTACTTAATTGTCAGTAAATGGATGGTTTGAATGGGCGCTAAAAGTCAATCCTTTTCTAGGCTAGTATCTGCTCCAGGGAGTTCCTTTGGCCCTGCTTTTGTTTAACTTTAGTTTCTTAAGAAGCTCGTGATAAGTTAGTCAATAGCTTAACTAAAATAACACTTGTAGCTGCCATAATATTATGAATATATATGAAGCAACATTAATAGTATTGACCTAAAGTAAACGAAAATTAAATTTTTATAATATTTAAACGAATTATTAATGTCTTAAAATGTGTGAAAATTTATTTACGAAAATTTCATTTGGACGACAATAATATTAAGCATTTGTTTTATCACACAAATTACTCAGGTCCACTGAGGCTACCGCTGTCATTGTTATAGTAACGACTGACGTAAACATTGGCAGCCATAGTGAGCGCCATAGACACGGTAGCTGTTAGCGACTGTAACCTACTAAGGTAACTATTTGTTTCGTTTCCATTGCAACAGTATTATGATTTTTAAATCATTCCAGTTATCGGGATCTGCTTATAATACCTAATTATATTTGTTTCTTCGACGATTAAAGTTTCTTAACGGCCCGTCACTATGGTAAACAATTAGACGCTAATTTAATATTTCAACTATTTTACAAGTTTATTTAGCTAGAATTTCTTACTAGTTTTAAATTTTGTGTGATATATCACGGAATATTACTTCTAAGTTAATAGGTCGCATTTGGTTTCAAATCTTATTATTTGCATCATGGGATTTAATGTTACTTATTTTGTAATGACAAAAAAGCAAACTTTGTGATTAGTTCTCGGATAAATAATTTTTGTTTCAAATTAATTATTGTTTTTCATAGTCCAAACCACTTTCTTAATTTTGTCTACCGTTTCGATAACTCATCCGGTCTATTTCTTGCTCTACCTAACTCTTTCTCTAATCTTCATTATAGTTGCTTGTTTATTTAGCATTATTTGCGGTAATTTAAATATTTATGCATTGTGTATTCAAAAAATATAGCGTTATAACTTTCATATCGATACTTTTTTTCAATTTTCCTGCAGTCTATACCGCTATGTGGCTATTCATGGGTACTGTAATTTTTTTAACGATCAGGTTTATTTCTCATTTGATCATATTTATACTTCATACTATTTTTCCTCTTTCGAGCCTTAAATTTGTATATATACTTTCCATTTTCAAGGCTCTCCTACTTGGAACCTATAGTCTAACTCTAATAAACTATGCAACCCGGCTCAAGCCAAGGTGCTACAGTTATTCAAATTACCAAAAATCCCATCTCAGCAACCCATACAATCATTCAACAAAATGGTCAACATCTCCTAGTTGGTAAAATAAGTAATTCTGTCGCAGCTACCACGTCTGACGCGACTGAAATTGTTTCTGATTCAAATACTAATGGCGGTGGAGTTACCGTCCAAACTCTCCTCCCAGGTCAGTATGTTGATGCGCCTTCTGCTGAACCTACCGTCTATGCTACTGCAGTGAGCACTGCTAGCGGTGGAAACCCAGCTAGCTCCGGTACTTCTGGCCAAGTGTGAGTTGGTTCTCAAAATCTTTTCCCTCTTTTAACTAACCCAGTAAAATCTCATCATTACCGTTGATTGCGCATGCTATAGCTTCTTCACAACATTGAATAGAAACAATGATACTCAGCTTCGGAGACTCTACTCAACTCCGCGATTTGCTTATGAGTAATTTGTTTAAGCCATATTGTTCCGCTTTGCTGACATTTTTCTCCGTTTTCACCTTTTTCTTTATATTTATTTCCCAAGCACTCACTACAAATTGAGAACTTTTTGAAAAATCAAATCTTCTGTTTATTTATAGACAATATCAGGAGTACGCTCCGATAATCTACACACCTGTTTGCGGAAGTCAAACGTACTACCAGACTATTGGAGGACAGGTAATATTACATTTTAAGTAGAAAATTGGTCTTTCTGTTTCTCCTCCCTTTATTTTCATATTTTCGGAATTGTTCGTTTAACAGCACTCATTGAGTTCTCATGATAGTAGATTTATTTCTTTCTGTGTCTTTGATGCTCTTTTAATTGTGCAAAAAATTGATGATGGGTTGTTCTCGTTATTATTTTAGTCTTGAGACTCATTTAAGGAGTTTGATGTTTATCTAATTCGATTTCAGTATGTAAATTTACCCCCACCCCCCTCTCCTCTCCCCGATTCTCATGATTAGCATAATGGTCTTTGATTAAAGGGAATGGATATTGCGCGTATGTACGTGGGAACATGGCTTAATTACTCTTCCCCAATTTATTCACTTTTTTTCACTGTTTGAATTTTTTTTCCTCCCAAAGTATGCCTTGTATTTTACAGCTGATATTTATTTCAATTTGTGTAAAAAATGATTTATATTTGAAACCGCTCCCATTCTTGCCCTTCTTTCAATAATCTGAAGCTTGCTAATGGGTGCTTAAGCGAATTATTTAACTATTTATGTAATTTTAATTGATGCTTGAAAATCAGTGGTGCATGTGTTATTATTAATGAAAAAGGTGGTTATCGATTTACGAAAATTGTTCAGTGGAAATGCTACTGAGATTATCTTGAAATTCGGAGTAATGATAGACATTCAATCAATGTTAGACTTGACTGTGAATAGTTGGTTAGGTGTCATATGAGAGTGATTTTAGTCTGCCTAGCTTGAATTACGCAATGGTTTCGATTCTAAAACATGAATAAACTTATCGGTAATATTTTAGTGTTTGATGCAGAAGGATTATGATGATTTCGTTTGTTCCTTTATTACAACTATCCCGATGAGGCACCATAACCTATAATTTTTCACTGAATGCCAAATTATTTTGATATATTTCGGGCATTATCATCTTTATTCATTCAAGAGTGATTGAAAACATGGCCTTGAAAAATAAATGTTAACTTCAATAGCCACCTTCGCTGCAATGATTCCCATTTTTCGACCAAAATTTTCCTCCGGCTCAATTGGGAAGGTGTTGACAAAACTTAGAGTCTGCCAGCGAACTGGCATTTTGGTGCCTCGTGTTTACCATTGTCGGCCATCTGCAATCTCTAGATGTACTCCGATGAGAGTCAATATCATGGCCTTGGGTATGAGTAGTATGGGTGTTGTACATCGCACCATTGGTGCTTACTGAAACTAAGTCTTTTCCTACTTGGCTTCTTATTAAAGGACTTAAAAAACGAACGTTATATCAGTTGATTATTAACCATACATTTTCGTTTGTCATCCCATTTAATAGATTTCATTTTATTGATCTCATCTTGACTGATTAGAATCTTTTATGCGAATTTACTTGCTCATTTGATTCGCTTTTTACTTTATTACAAGTTGTTAATGCTTAATTTCACAGCTGTTAAACAATTAACTGTTGAGGAGTTTTGGGCTGAAGCATCGTTTGCCAATTACTCTGCGCATAAATGGTTTTTTTGTCTCTTTTTAGCTACAGGGTTAGGTAGCCAAGCTCCATGTTAACGCCCTGTCTTCGACTAAACTAAGTATTTAAAAGTCGAAAATAATCTAGAATTTTCTCTTATTTGTTTTTTTTTGTTCAAAATGAGTTATTTGGACTTTCTATTGTGTTTAACTGAGCGTAACAAGTTAAATAATCTAATTCAATGCCTTTCTGCTTTACTTGTTCCATATGTATTTTTTATCTCTCAATTTGCAATTGTATTCCCTTTTATTTAGCATTATTTTAATTTCCATTATATATTAAGTAGGTAGTCATCCTATTTTTGAGCCAAAAAATTACCCATCACAAGAATCGGATGATGTCTGTGCATTTTCTTTTGTTCATCTCCAAAACCATTTTCCTTTTTGCTTCTACGAATAGTTGCGCTACTGTTTGATTATGTACATCAATCTAATTTATTACCTTTAGGTTCTCACAAGTTCCAATTTCGCTGGAGCTGGAACTACAGCAGCAGCAGCAGCCAATACCGGAGCGGGCACAGCGCAACTTGTCACTCACCAAGGAACCACTTACATCCTTCAAAGCGCCACTGGTTCTTTTGAAGATGACACCGCAGCCCTCTCCCATACTGCTAAAGCCTCTCCCGTCACAGTAATCATCTTTCTCCCTATCTTCTATGCAATTAACCTATGCACTTTTCGTAGCGTATTTTTTTGCATGCTCGTCGGCCAGAAAACAGTCCTTGATCTGATCACTTTCTATTACATTTTTCCCAGTTATAAGTTCATCGGGTAGGCGAGTCATGATGGCGAGTCAAGTTTATCAAATAGTCAGGCATTGAGGGCTCGAATATTGCAGACAAAATCGCGCTTTCATAAACAGGGGGCGGGGTTCATCAACAATTTCGATTGCTCAATCTCGAATCGTTTTAATTCTTAGTTTAGACTTTATTATTATTTTCAACTCCATTGGTCAGTTTATTATTTATAAAGTCAAGTGGCCAGATACAGACACATTTTTTGCGGTAGATAGAGTTTGATTTCTCATTTCGATCTTAAATATACATTGTAGTTTCTTATTTTAATCGTCTCACTTAAACGTTATCTTAAGTTGCTTTCAGTTGTACATGTAAATGGTATATAAAGATTTCAATTTCTCTTCAGTTTTTTTGTGTATTATGGATTAGTGTTTTTTTCTTTGAGCAAATGCTGCGAATAATTTTTATTGGCAAATTCACTTTAAATTAATCAGTAGATGGGTTTTTTAGGGTCCTATTCTAATGGGGAGTTGATTGTGGTTATTCATTTCCTCAGAAAAATGCGCAAATAATCAGAAAGTTGCCTTATTTTATTTCCCGCTTCTTTGCATTCCTTTGGTCATATAGCCATCGCCTATTGATTGCAGCGTGGCATTCTTGGTAAAATACTCTTATCGGGGCTATTTCCAACAGCTTTTCACTTTATGGCATCTGTTGTGCCTAACAGATTCGGGTGTGTAGATGTGCTTTGGTGTCTCCATTGTGATGTTTAAAGCCTATTTCCCGCTGCTATGATCTATGCGTCCACTTGTTATCACTGGACTCCGACTGCTTCGGCTTCCGAGGAAGGGGAGCAAAATAATTGTTACGCCAAGATCGTGTAATCATATCGTTAAAAATTGCACTGCACACTGGTTTATTGTGGCCTCTCGACTACTGCTAAACCTACCATATACCACTGTGGGATGTGAATTGATCATTCTGAAACAGAATTTACTTTCCGGCCTTTATCCATGTTTGTCGGTGTTCTATCCCTTCCTATTTCACTTACACCAAGCTGACAGTGCAGTAGTTTAATTATAAAATTACGTAAATCTAGTTTGACGGTAGATGAAGGCTTCATTTTTAGTACCTTGAGAATGTTGGTGCAAACTAAATTTTATTTCCCTTTGCTTATAGGTTCAATGGTTGCTGGAGAATTACGAAACTGCTGAGGGTGTTAGTTTACCTCGAAGTACCCTCTACTTTCACTACCTACAGCACTGCCAAGAAAACAAGCTTGAACCCATGAATCCTGCCTCCTTCGGCAAGTTAATCCGCTCCGTCTTTCTAGGTCTTCGAACACGTCGTTTGGGTACTAGGGGGAATAGTAAATACCACTACTATGGAATCCGAATCAAACCCACTTCCCAACTGAATCACTATGTGGAAGATCCATCTTTTGCTCTGCGCCATTATCCTAATTACCATCGAGAGAGTATGGAGGTGGTGGCAGAGTGGAAGAACCTGGCTGGAAAGTCATCCATTCCCAGTTCTACTATTGGCTCTTCTAATGCTCCAAATTCAAGCCCGATGAAACAAGGTGGAATAGTTTCTTTGGGAGGTAACGAAAATTCCTGTGGAAGTAGTAGTGCCTTTGGAGATCCTTCTAATAATACCAGAACATCTGGTGCTGCTACTATTGGAAGTCCAATAAGTACAGATCAAAACCGTCATCAGCATGCAGAATTTCTTGGTGAAGCAACTTCTGCTCTACCTAATCTGAATGAGATTTGTAGGTCAGCGGGACTTCCTGTTCCAGGTTTGCTTTACTTCTCCTATCATAATGTATTAAATACTATTGAAATTGTTTTAGTAATTAATATCTCTTCCTAAATAGGGTCAGAAGATGTAGATCTTTCATCTAGGAACCGGAGTCCCTCAGGTGGAAGTAATTCTGGATTTACTGTCAAGAAGACATCTACTGCTACAGCTTCGTCTTCAAGCGGTCTAGATGGAGTTCCCACAAAAGATCTCATTAAATTTGCCATACTCTATGCGCAATCAGCAGGAAATATCCTTGAAGCTGTTGTCAATTTAGACTTCTCTTCAATTTCCGGGGCTTGGAAAATGTTTTGGAGAACAGGGGAGTGTAATGTAAGTTTGCGTGGTCTGATTGTACATTAATTTTTGATGGCGTATGACGACCCTATAACAGATTGGATAGTATTTCGCCCACTTCGATGTGGTATCTTTGGGGGCTGTATCGTCCGATAAACAGGTTGCTTTGTGTTTTAATTTCTTGTTTAGTATTCCCGTTTTTCATTATTTAAATTTTAAGCTAAGGGCCTAAAGTTCTTAGTGGATTGGAGGTATTTTAGTGCAATGAGGCATTCGATCTAATTGCTCTTTTTAATTCCCAACTTATGAAGTGGATGGATTTTTTGGCACAATTTCTATTGCCCTCGCTAAAAAGACGGAGATGAGTTAATTTCATTGGCATTACCTAAGTAATAATTGGTCTATTTATCTTCGTTTCCCCCATCTATTCCCTTCACTAAAATCATAGAATCATACAACACCAAATCTGTCCTTCACTTTTCAACCTCCTTTACACACGAAGTGAATTGTATGGCAAAGCCAAATTACTTAGCTATCACTTAATTATACCAAATATCACAATAAATAGGCTTAAGATAAGATGGTGACTATATGCCATAGTTATGCATATTAGCTTATAGTAATGGTTTTGGTGGTTTAGCACTTAAGGTTAATTGGTAAGCAACATTAGGGGAAAAGTCGATGATGGTGCTCAGTGTAGTTGCTAACTTGCTTCAAATTAGCAGGCAATTTAGAGCCATTGTGGTAACTGATGTCAATCTAATTTCTGTATTCTCTTGGCATTGCAGGAAGACTCCGTGTTCGAAAAAACTTTGCCCAAAGAACGCCTCCATGCGCTGGCGAAAAACGTTGTAGTGCATCAATTCATTCGCCTCTATGACCATACTTTCTACCAGTCCCTGGCCGAAGTACTCATCCCCAATGTTCTGCGTCCGATTCCCTCATCACTAACTCAAGCAATTCGCAATTTCGCTAAACATCTTGAGGTTAGTTATCACAGTTTCATTAGTTCCATCTCTATGCTTGGCGTTACGCAACCATCTACTCCTGGGTCTAAGTGAGCATCTATTTTAAAAGGACTATTTATTGTTATATTTCATCTCATGTGTGTAATTTCATTGTCGCGTTGGTTATTGAGGTGAATTTGTTAAAGCAATCAATAAGTGACATTGTAAAAAAAGTGCTTTAGGCATTCAAGTTAGCTAAACAAGGAATATCGACGGATCCAATGTGAACAAATTTCAAGTTAGAGATCAAGAAAGCTCTTGGTATTTCTAAATAGTCGTTGGCAAAATGTTAGGAAGGTATAATGCAAGAGGTGCATAAATAATGGTTCCGAATAGTATTGATAATCAGATTACAAAGGCTGCAATTCTTCCTACATTTCCTTCAGGTATGGATGCGTGAAGCTTTACAGAACTTGGATCCAGTTCTGCTTCGAATTAAACTTGGAGCTGTATCTGCGTTGAGCCAAACTTTGCGTCGTTACACCAGTCTTAATCATCTGGCTCAAGCGGCAAGAGCTGTGCTCAAGAACCCAACACAAATAAACCAGATGCTCATTGATCTTAGTCGTGTTGATTTCAACAATGTTCAGGTAAGGTGTCATCAAAAATGCCTTGCTAAATTTTTGTTCTCATCCAGTGCACCATTTGCACACGCATTTGCTCTTATTGGACTGTGGTGTGCACTTACGGGGCGAGTCTTTAGAAACAATGGGTATGGCTTAGGCTATGCTTATTTCTTTTTAAATTGTGCACGTAGTTAGAATGAAATTTGGGTATAGGGGTGGAGAAAGACAAGCTGGGGGGAGGGGGGGGGGCTTTAGCCTTGAAATGCTGACCCATATGTACCCTTTCCTTGATGTCGTTACAAGTCTATAAATTCATCAAAAATTTGGCTTTCAAGTCAGTAGCATTTATTTATTTACTATTCTTAATCCCGCTTTTCATTCACTTCAAATGTGTATGGTTTCGGTAGAAAATGTGGACTCGAATCGACCATGATATTAAAGATCTGGGTTGTGGTGCTTCACCCATTTTCTGCGTTGTACTAACTTACATAATCTTAGCACGCTTGTGATTAATCGATTTCATGATTGGATTTACACGTTCATGACTTGGATATATTTTGTTTTATGCGTATCTTTCATATGAACTTGCGTTAATTTCCTTCTTAAGTTGATTGCGTAAACACGTTTGCTTTTGTATACTTCGCATTATGTTCCCTTCCTAGTTGATGATACTGATTGACGCCTTTAATTTGTTTTGCGTCTGCTATATTTCCCTCTTATAATTGTCATGGCCATTGTTAAAACTCGATTTGTGTCAAACTGACGTGTGTGGTATCCCCCCCCCCGTCTCTGTCTACTAAGCCTGGGATGTTGGCCTTTGAAAGTTATAGGTGCACTAATTTCTATTTTCTTTTCTAGAAGTGTTGGAGTCCAATTAGTTGTTGTCGTTTCAAGAAAGTGCTTTTCCAATAGGTACTATGCTTATTTTCTCTCCAAATACTACTAGAATTCCTTTCAGTAGCATTGAACTGATAGGATATTCAGTATTTTTATCCGTGTTACTGGAAGTTTTTCAACAGGCATGCATTGCTTACAGAAACCTTGCCAAACATTCACTTAACCTTACTTTTCTTATAACCTTATAATGTCAGGAGCAAGCATCATGGGTTTGTCAGTGCAGTGATGCAACCGTCGCTCACCTCGAACAAGACTTTAAATACATCCTTCAAAAGCAATCTAGTCTTGAGGAGTGGGCTCAGTGGCTAGACACCGTAGTTACGGGTATTCTACGCCCTCTTGAAGGCAATAATCTGGCCTACACTCGTTCCGCCCATCAACTCATTCTCAAATGGTCCTATTACAGTTCTATGGTGATTCGTGACCTTACTCTTCGTTCTGCGGCCAGTTTTGGGAGTTTCCATCTAATTCGACTCCTCTATGACGAATATATCTTCTATCTGGTGGAGCACAAGGTTGCTGCCCATCTTGGGATGACTCCGATTGCAGTTATGGGAGAAATGGGAAGGGTGAGCGCGTTGTATTAATACTCTGCTTTCTGTGTTCATCACTAGGTTAAACTCTGTTAAACTTCTTATCTCATATAGTTTCGGTGCAATCTAATCTGGTCAGGCGAAAAATCTATTTTCATGAGGATTCTAATAATCATATTTGTATTTGCGATTCATTAATTTCCCTTCATTTATACCTATATAAATCTCCTATTCACTCGAATTTTGGATAAGTAAATGGTATATTTAGTGAATTGGATGTTTGGTTTTGTTCAGGCACAGCCTTGCAAACAGCTTGACGAGTTATAGTAAATGTTATCGAACGAACTGACCATGCATGAGAAGAAGGCTTTGAATTGGAACTAATGGTTGAATGTCTAATTACTACCATGAACTAATATTTGGTTTGATGACGTCTTCGGATATTTTTTGAAACTGAGCTGTTTGCAGTACTAAACTGTTCATCGTTATTTATATCAAATGGCAGGTTTTATGAGATTTATCATTAGCCCTTTAGTTGACTTCAGGATTCACAGAGGGGAAGGAACATCAAATTGAAAAAATTTGAGAGGGGGGGGGGAGGGAACAGAAGAGTGTTTCAAAGATGTAAGAGACGGACACAAAGGTAGAACAAAGGTGAGGTGAGTACTGTGAAAATAGTCGAATATGTCATAGAGTGAGGTGATGGTAGTTTGAAGTCAGAAGTCAACTACCAGTTAATAAATTTTTGCCGTATGAGTATACGTTGGCCAGGGTGCACCACGTGGAGGTAAGTCTATCGCATACCCCAACTGTTCATCGTAAAATCTATTAAAGTTGCATGTGCCCTTAACTGCTAAGGTAAAAAAGGTCAGGTATGAATACTGTGAATAACAATTCCGGACATTCAAAAGTTAGCAATAAGTGTTGAGACTGCTCACCGTGTTCTTTGGTATACAACTCTTTTATCTGTATTATCTCCAATGTATGTAGTAACTTAATACGGCTAGTACTTTCAGGTTAGTAGTGTTTTAATTGTTTCTTTAATAGCTCGTAAGCGGAAGAAGAGGTGTTCATCATCTTTATTCATGCCTTAACGTGTAAAATATGAAGTGACCACCGTGAATATGATGAGTGACATTCTAAATGTTTATTTAATCTGCCTTAGAGTATGGAATGCAACAAAATGAAAATGACTATTAACGATTTTTTTGCGAAGTTGAATTTGTCAATTATTGGGACCCCCGTCAATCTAATGACGGATGATATGAATACTCATCATCACAAATCATTTATCCTTTATAAAATTTCAAATGCCGTGAGGCATTGACTGGGTATCGAAATTACAGATGAATTTTAATATTCCTTATTTTGAAACAATAACCTCTTGGTTGCTCTTTTATGCATCAGCTCTTTGTTTCTTCGGAAATATTTAACTTAATCTATTTCGATGTTTCTCTTTTCAGGCTGTGACTCGTCCTCATTGCAATCTTTCTCGAGCAACAGCGGTTGCTCTAGTCGCTAATACTGAGCCTCGTAGTCGTGAAGACATTCCATCTACCATATCGTCAGTATGTGGCAAGCTTGAGGCAGTCCTTACCGCCAATAAGGAGCCTTCATCCGACATTGATGTCTCCGACAACACCGTCCAAACACTACTCCACCAAGACACAGGGGACTCTGTAACAGACACTACTATTTGCGACGCATTCGAGACTGAGGCTGTCTTTCAACGTCCTAGTAGTGGAGATCATACTGACGAACACCTTGAAGAGGAATTCCTTGACGGAGAGGAGGAAATCCTAGACGATGCTGAGGATGAACTTGAGAATGCCATGCTCTGTCGAGCTCACGAGTCGGCACTTAAGGCTGCAGCTGCTGAGGCACATAAGTCGTCTTCTGCAAATGGCGACTCAAGTGACAATGGCAACGGTGGAATGATTAATGAAGTTCCAGCCGCCGGGATTGTGCAGAAGAGAGAAGATGAGTCTGCTGGCAGTGGTGTTCCGGTGGTGTTGAAGGAGGCTTTGAAGGTGGAAGAACCTTCGGCAACGCAGCAGCATCAACAACCGAATCAAGAAGGCTGTGATTCTCCCCCTCCAATTGTTGCTCATGTAGGATCTTTTTGCTTATTTACTATATGCTCGTTAAACTAGTAGATGCTTAATTTTTGAAAATAACCAAGGTTTGAGAGTGCATTTCTTTAATTAGCTTTCTGTTAGTAAATATTATCTAATTATGAATTAAGAAAGTATCCTTTTATCCTAGGGTAGTTTCAATTGCAGACCTATCCTCGCACAGAACCATTAGTCTTTCAAAATTTTCACTAGATGCAACGGCCTTCTCTAGAAGCGCAAATAATAATGCCCATTTACAATGCATTTCTTTGTAAATCTCTCCCTATTGGTCGGAAATGGAACTTTACTATCCACTGGCAGAGCATCTCTTTCCTAGCAGAAGAATGACTCAAATTTTCAATTTTTATTCCGGTTGCATTTACGTTTCTCTAGAATTTTGGAGTATCTTTTTTCGATATTTAAGTGTTGACAATTAAGGTATGTATTATTTCCTCGTTCTGGCTCATCTCCTTGATTTGAAAATACGATCGATTTGGTTGTGTTTATTTTCTTTTCCATTTCTCTGTTGATGCTTCGGCACTTAAGAACTTTTTGTCAAAGCTTTTGACAATTTTCAAGCAGAAATCAACTAATGAACTAATGTTCCTCCCCCCCCCTTTTGTGAAAACCGAAGTCAATTAGGGGGTTAATGGTAAATATCATAAAGCCTGCCATTTGAAACAATGATATTTTTCAATAGGTCTTCGTACCATTTGGTCCTATTTGAACATAGTTATCTGCGCACACACATGCCAATAATATTTTTGTTTAATTTAAGATAACTTATCGGCGTTGTTTATTTCTTTTTTTTGTAAAGGCGACTGCTTTACGAAAAGTTGTTCGAGTAACAACCTTTGATGAATCAGGAGGTATTCAGAAGAGTGTTGAGACTGCCGATCAGCAACCAACCACTCCTGCGACCTCTCTTATCATACCTTCAGAAGCCAAACGCCCTCGTCTTATTTGAGGCCTTCTTCTTCTATCCTCAACCTCCTGCACATACGCCTTTCTCCCTTTCGGCTGCGTCTCCTCTTTTTTCAGTGTTGCCGTCGTTACTGTTAAATAATCAGTTGACACCCTTTTTTGTATCTTCTTTTTCGTAATTAGCAAGCATACTTTTTCTGCACCGCTGTATTTGCACTATCGTTCATACCTCACGTATTTGCACAAGGTGTATATGTGTATAATGTATTTTAGGATCACACTCTCTGTCTCTACTTTTTTCTAGTCTCTTTATTTCCATTCTTCATTCCGTCCTTATTAATGTGTATTATCGCTACTCTGATTATTGCTCTATGTATGTGTATAATGTTACTACCAATGCGCACACCTCAATTGCCGTTTGGAAAATTATGTGTCGGTTGTGTTGTGTGAAAAGGCAGCTGTCGACTTCTAAGTTTGTCCTTTTTCTTCTTATCTCTGGATTTTGGTATGATTGTCTTTGGCAGCACTGCGTTATTGACAGTCCTAATGGGGGGAGGGGTGCTTTGGTACTAACGCTGTTGCACGCACAGGACAGTTTAGCGACTCATTCTGGATTGGACGCTTTCAGCAACTCACTTGTAATGATTTTAGGATATTGAAGTAGCCTAATTCTCTTATTTAGCGATACGTCAGAATATCATGCTATTATGATCGCGAATCTACCCTAATTTCTTCCAAAATGTGGTAGTATTGACTTTATACATTGACAAACGAAAGGCCTCGTGATAAATGACATTTCAAATACTCCAATGGGCTAATTTATGCGAATAGAAATCTGGTGGAAGTTTTTATTTTAGTGAATCCGTGGTTAGGCCAAGCAGTGATGTATTTAACCCTAAGGATATGCGAATTAGGTCATTCACATTCCAGCTTAATTCACTTTGCGCTTAGAAAATATAATTTTACAAATGCTTCTCTTACGAATATTGTAAAGATTTTGTTTGGAAGATAAACTGAATAGTCTCACTACAACGTTGTCTACTTTGGCAGTAATTTTTGGTTTTATTAGAGCAACCGTGTATCCCGTTGTGACGTCCTGGCGTACTGAATTCATTAAAAGTTCGTTTAGTGAAGGCTGAACATGTGATTTGTTGAGAGTATGCTATCACGCTTATGCATAATATAGTAGAAAGAGGGATTTTGGGGTGCGATAGACTTACCTCCACGTGGCGCACCCTGGGC